GTGGGTGTGTGGGTGGGGGCAAATTTGGGTCTTCTCAGAAGGAAAGGATTTTTGGAGTTCACATGATTCTAAGAGTTTGCCTGAGACTTTAGATTTTTTTTTAGACTTTGAAAATTCGAAGCACAAAATTTTGAATACATGGAGATTGCCCAACTGTGTAGATTGTGTCCCTAGAAGAACTGTCATTTTCTGAGGGTACATGCAATTTATGGCATGGATGAGACAATAAATGAACTAATTCTTGAGTCCAATTACAAACCTTTGCACTTTCTAGTTCAAACTGAAGCTGTTTTCCATCATTTTGATCCAAACCTGGCGAGACTTGAGAAACTATTTTCAAGTCCTTGATTTCAGACATCCGTAACGTAACATCACAAGGCAGACGCTTGCCATCGATACTTGCTGGAAAATGTAAAGCGAAGGAGACTTTTGAAGACTTTTGTGAAATCAGAAGGAAGGAAAGAAGTCTACAATATATCCTTAAGTTACTTTTAAATTTTGTAGAGTAAAATTCTGTAATTTTGTAAATATAGTCAAATCCGGAACCCCTATTAAGCCTGCACCTTTGGGATGCTTAAATGGGGTGGATGCTAAGGCGTAAAAAAATATCTGTGGTTCCGGTTCCCAACCTACGCTTTTTTTTCAACGTGATTGACCGTGCGACCCTATTTTCTCTGGGTGGTTGCGGGCTGCTGCCAAAATGGCATCTGTTGTCACACTAATTATTGAAAAAAACCATGAAAAAAATATTTAAAAAAAAAATTATTTCCGACCTAGCGACCCTAATTTTTTTGCTATATGAAACCGGAACCACAGGTATTTTTTACGCCTAATTAAAATGTGTCAACAGGCTGGTTATGGCATGAACATCCTCATGAGTTCAATTTTCGAGGAGACAGTTTTTCTTGCAATTCCTTGAAAGACAAATTAAAGAAAGAAAATAAACAAGCTTTCGTTGGGAGAGATCGCTATCTGCAAATATATAAGGAGAATTTCAACATTTTGAGCGAAGGGACAAACATATTTCAATGTTTCGTTCCTTTGTCTGCAGTTATACTAGCAAGTAACTCCAAGCGAGTTACTTGGCTAGTAACTCGCCAAGACGAAGGGCCTTCGTTGAAACGTCAAAATTCTCCTTTATTTTTTTCTGGTAGTTGCATCGCTACCAACGAAAGCTTGTTCATTGAAGAAAGAAAACTTTGTTTTGGGAGATTAGTGTAATTATATTAAGCCGAAATCAATTATTTCGCTACCGGTTGTTTATAGACCATCCAATACAATCTTTGTTGAAAAATATATTCTTCAAAGAATTGATCAATTTCCAACAGAAAAAAAGTCCACAAAATCTCTTTGGATATGCTTTCTCTCATACTAGAAACGCGTTTAATTATGCATTAATCGCCATATTGAAATTTGCCAATTTCGCCCCAGCAAAGTATCTGATATTTGGCATTTCAGGTGAAATTAAGTCAATTTGCACACTATATTAACTCTCTAAATTATCTGTTGCCATAATTATATAAAGACATATACATTATGTACAAGTAAACAGCAAATATAATTGCTCAATATTAACTACAATTTATCTTTCAATGCATTAAATACAACTCAACACGAGCTAAAACGTTATCTAGTTTCAGAAAATATATACCCACCATTTTTGAGTTTAACACATCCGTCGCTGTCGTCAATTTCGGTGACTTTTCCTTCAAAAATTCCAATTTCTCCACAGTCTACATTGACCAAACATCCTACCCAGCTCATTTCAGACATGATATACAAATTTTTGACAAAGTTTATTGAATAAAAACAGTAAAACTTTAAAATATTTTGAATTTTAAAAAGTAGTTTTTTAAAAATTTTGCCAACTTCTTGAAATTGTGGTCAGCGTCCAACGCGGATACGTCAAGTAAATGCAAGTGTAATATATCGGGATTTTCAAAACAATCAACAATGAAAAGACAATGGAACATTCCGATCACAAGATCGTCACTCTCGCAAAGAGAACCAGGGTATGTGACTGAATGGCATGGAGAACAGTGGGATTTTCAAAACAATGAAAAGACAATGGAACATTCTGATCACTGGATCATGACTGGATGGCATGGAGAACAGTGGGATTTTCAAAACAATGAAAAGACAATGGAACATTCGGATCACTGGATCATGACTGGATGGCATGGAGAACAGTGGGATTTTCAAAACAATGAAAAGACAATGGAACATTCTGATCACTGGATCATGACTGAATGGCATGGAGAACAGTGGGATTTTCAAAACAATGAAAAGACAATGGAATATTCTGATCACTGGATCATGACTGGATGGCATGGAGGACAGTGGGATTTTCAAAACAATGAAAAGACAATGGAATATTCTGATCACTGGATCATGACTGGATGGCATGGAGAACAGTGGGATTTTCAAAACAATGAAAAGAAAAGACAATGGAACATTCTGATCACTATAATATGTACTTACTACATGTACAATAGCAATGTAAATTCCATTTGAATTGAAACAACGAGGCAAGCAATTAAACATGTTGCATTAAGTTACATTCTATCTTGCACAATTAGAGTTAAGAGTAAAATAAATAAATTAGTTAAATAAATAGTTTTCACCCAAATTATTTACATATAAGGTTATCCAGAATTATTAAAAGAACGATGTGGGTGGCAGCTACTGACATCGAAACTTTTTTACCATTGGAATCATATACAGTAACATGACAGGCTTTCAAAAATCTTTGGCAGCTAGGTCTACATATTGAAGCGTTAAATATTAAAAAGATTATATAGGAGAGTTAGATTAAATATTTATAAAATGATGCTCGTACAATTGGCTTAAAATTTGTATATACAAAGGCTTTTAAAGTAAATTTACACTGTCGCACATTTTAATCAAATAAATTTCGATAATGTAAAACAGTCTGAAGTCTTTGAAAGAGATTTACAATATCACACACTTTTATCAATGAAATTTCGATGCTGCATGTAATAGTAGGAATTTTGCTTAGGTAAATGGACCTATTCCCTAATGAACAAAATTTTGATCTAGACAAGTCCAGACAAACATTTCATCACGGCTTGAAAGAGCATCACAAAATTAGTAATATTCCGTAGTTTCGTTTCGAAATGTTGTAAAATGCGGATAATATGGCTCTGCGAAGTTTGCCGTTTTACAGTCATTTTGTATTACGCACGGGAAATTGATACCGCTTTCTGAAAAAAGGTATCAATTTCCCGCGCGTAATACAAAATGACTGAAAAACGGCAAACTTCGCAGGACTATATTATCCGCATTTTACAACATTTCGCAACGAAACTTCGGAATATTACTAATTTTGTGATGCTCTTTCAAGCTGTGATGAAATGTTTGTCTGGACTTGTCTAGATCAAAATTTTGTTCATTAGGGAATAGGTCCATTAGTTCTAAGTTTTGAAAGAGTTGCACGAAATGTTCAAGGAATCTAACTTTAATTGTTAAACACCGAAAAAATGCAACACATTTTGGCCGAAAGCGGTGCATTTTCCCGCGCGTAATACAAATTAATACAAAATTTGCAAAATTCGCATGGCTATATTTTCCTCATTTTACAACATTTCGCGGCCAAACTTTGCAATTTTGGTCATTTTAACATGTTCTTTCTAGCTGTTGTGGTGGATTTTGTCCTTCTTGCTAAGATAAAAATTTATTCTATAAAAGCTGGAATCATACATTGATGGGGGAAACAACCATAGGATGTACACCAGTAACAATATTGACCTCACTCATCTTTCTCATTTTGCGTGCTGTGCTGTGCTGGAATTTTCACTGCCTTGTCAGAAATCTGTGGCCGATTAAATGTATTCATATGTTTAATTTACTCATCAATCATGTTCTAGGCTGTACCAGCAGCCTGTTGTTCTCTCATCTTTGCAATTCTCACGTAGGTCGGTTCTTTTAACGTGTCTTGCGCGCGTTTTGTCTTTGGGTGACTTGGACCTAGTACCTGTTATAATATAGAACGTCATTTAGTGTTTTTGCAATAAGATGCGACTCTTACTGGAACTCTATATTTTGGAAGAACAGTTTAGAACTGATAGAGCTATCCAGTATAAATAAAGTTAGTTTAGTTTAGGTTTCCTCCTGTAGTAGCACTGGATCAATACGAGATGATCCTTACTGGACCTCTAGGGAGAACAGTTTAGAACGGATAGAGCTATCCAATATAAATAAAGTTAGTTTAGTTTAGGTTTCCTCCTGTAGTAACACTGGATCAATAAGAGATTATCCTTACTGGACCTCTAAGAAAAACAGTTTAGAACTGATAGAGCTATCCAGTATAAATAAAGTTAGTTTAGTTTAGGTTTCCTCCTGTAGTAACAATGGATCAATAAGAGATGATCCTTACTGGACCCCTAAGAAAAATAGTTTAGAACTGATAGAGCTATCCAGTATAAATAAAGTTAGTTTAGTTTAGGTTTCCTCCTGTAGTAACACTGGATCAATACGAGATGATCCTTACTGGACCTCTAGGGAGAACAGTTTAGAACTGATAGAGCTATCCAATATAGCGTTAGTATAGTTTAGATTTCCTCCTGTAGTAACACTGAATCAATAATAGAATGATGATCCTTACAGGACCTCTAGAAAGAACAGTTTAGAACTGATAGAGCTATCCAGTATAAATAAAGTTAGTTTAGTTTAGGTTTCCTCCTGTAGTAACACTGGATCAACAAGAGATGATCCTTACTGGACCTCTAGGGAGAATAGTTTAGAACTGATAGAGCTATCCAGTATAAATAAAGTTAGTTTAGTTTAGGTTTCCTCCTGTAGTAACACTGGATCAATACGAGATGATCCTTACTGGATCTCTAGGGAGAACAGTTTAGAACTGATAGAGCTATCCAATATAGCGTTAGTTTAGTTTAGATTTCCTCCTGTAGTAACACTGAATCAATAATAGAATGATGATCCTTACAGGACCTCTAGGAAGAACAGTTTAGAACTGATAGAGCTATCCAGTATAAATAAAGTTAGTTTAGTTTAGGTTTCCTCCTGTAGTAACACTGGATCAACAAGAGATGATCCTTACTGGACCTCTAGGGAGAACAGTTTAGAACTGATAGAGCTATCCAGTATAAATAAAGTTAGTTTAGTTTAGGTTTCCTCCTGTAGTAACAGTGAATCAATAATAGATGATCCTTACAGGACCTCTAGGAAGAACAGTTTAGAACTGAAAGAGCTACCCAGTATAAAAATTCATACCTCGATACACGTGTCATGCCACTTTATAAAGTAGTCGAAAGCTGTTTCAAAGTTTCTGTTATCCTCATATAAAATACCAATGTTCAAAAACAGTCGCAACATTAACATATGTTTTTCACCATAAGTCTTGGCACATAGCTCTTGAGCCGTCATTAGCATCTAAGCAAAATAAGTATAGATACAGTAATTTAGTTTAAATATTCACACATAAAAATCTCACATTATCTGTCAACAAGATGTGTTCGCACTGCTTGTTCCCAATTGTTAATTCTTGAACAAGTGGTTATCATGCATCTTGTAACAAGGTTGAGTTAAGCATGGTTAGATCATACAGAGGTAGTACATGTTCTTAAATGTAGGCTACCTTAAAGTGATCTGATGTTGTACAGAACTCACTGCTGAGTTAAACATGGTTAGATCATACAGAGGTAGTACATGTTCTTAAATGTAGGCTACCTTAAAGTGATCTGATGTTGTAGTTAAGCACGGTTAGCAAACAGCTTGTCAAGAAGATGTGTTCGCACTGCTTGTTCCCAGTTGTTGCGACAAGTCTGGAACAAACTGTTATCATCTTGTAACAAGGTTGACGAGGCCAACAGACTCGCAACAAGTTGTTCCAACAAGTCTGATATCGTCTGCACGTAACAAGTTGTTAACAAGTTGATGACAACAAGCTCGTGGCAACTTGTTACGAACAGCCTGTATTAGTCTTGTTGGAACAACTTGTAGCAAGTCTGTTACCGTCATCAACCTTGTAACAAGATAATAACAACTTGTTCCAGATTTGTCACAACAACTGGGAACAAGCAGTGCGAACACATCCTGATATCGGTTTCACAACAACCTTGTCACAACTTGTTTCCCGTGCTCCGTTTAGCAAAATAAAAATTTTCAAATTGCACGCGAAGTTACCTTTTCCTTTTCATGAAAATGCTTGGACAACCGAGGGTTTATAAAAGATTTCGTCATGATGGCCTCGGCCAGATGGCCTGTGTCATTTTGCTAAATAAATAAAAGGATGTTCTGTCAATAAAATCAAAATGAAAAAGTAATTATTGTGATGAGAATGCCGACGAAAAATGGAAAGAACACTTAACTCGGTTTAATTTTTTTCTGACCGATGGCTACTTTCGTATTTTTCTCTTTCTAACGCCAGACGATTTAACTTGTCAATGGAAAAGTCATTGGAAAGTTATTTAGTGGTTTAAAACTATCTCCTTGAAGTTTTATATACTGTCCGTAGATTACACTGTACTGGATATAGCTTTTTATATAATACCTTATTGAATTCTGATCGTTTAATTGGCTGTTTATGGTCACGTGATATTGAATAGAAAATTCCATTTCCCAAGAGTGCAATGGAATACGTTCCAACATTTCGCAACCAAACTTTGCAATTTTACTCATTTTAGTATGCTCTTTCTAGCTGTGGTGATTTATTTGCATCTCCTTGCCTAGTTTTAAAATTAGTCTACTGTATATTGGGAATTGTCTATTCCCATCCTCGTTTTAAACTCTTT